TGTTTCGGAAACAAGCTCGGAGCGGCGGAAATAAGATAGACGTCAGCGCGGTAGAAGAGGTAGTCTCTCTCGCCAATTCTGAGGGCTAGTCTCACTGATTGACACCTCCAATCTTAGGGGTGCTCTGGGTCCCCCTAATTTTGCTGCCTGGTCAAACCAGAATACCGTCATTGCACGGACTTGTCCTTGTGCCTAAGTTCCAAAACTGCCACTTTCAGGCGGTGCACTACTTGTGGCCGCCTGACAACGTGTCGCTGGTCGTCGTGCATTCGGGTTAGGCCTCCGGAACTCTGGGGTTCCGTCGGCAGTTCCCGCAGGGTGTGCTGGGCCAGTAGGGGGCTATAGCCGGCCACGGGACGACGCTGAGTTGGTGGTATGGAAGAAGAAGGCGAAAGGGAGGGAAACTAGTGGTGATAACGACAAATCCGAGGTGGATGAAGTAGTAGGTATGGTCCGGAGAAGGGAAATCAGAGCACCGAGGGTCGCTAGTGGTGGCGCAGTGGAATTTCCGAGGACACAGTCGGTTCTCGGTTACGCAGCGGTATCTCTGTCGAAGGAGTTCGTTTATCCAAGGTGTGAAGTAATCCGGGTCGTATGATGAGTCGGAATTCAAAGATCGCGTCATTATGTCATGGCGGTATTATGAGTTGCCTAAGGGCGGGTCCGTGGCGATCGAGGTCGCCGCATGCGAGCACGTGCAGGCCATGTGAATGGCGTCAGACTTACGTGTGCTCGTGCGGGACGACTACGCCGCTCCGGATTCTGGGACGGCCGTCCCACTCAGATAGGGCATTCGCGATCGATGGTCCTGACGAGTCGACGCCTGGGGGTACGTGTAAGTGCGCAACTCAGATCGCGTTTTACACGTGTCCTCGCGCGGCGCTCGCCAAGCCCGGCATCTGATCGTCTAATCATTCTATGATGTTCTGAGCATGCAAGATGCAACGACCACAAACAGCTCGATTATAAGGCAAGCAAAGACAAGGACATAATTATCGATTGCGCAAAATTTCTATTCTACATATGAGCTCATCGAAGGCGACAAAAGCAAGGACAAGGATTCCCAGCAAAAAGATAAACAAGCAAGCATAGGATCCATACATTTATACATTCAGCAATCATACACACAGTGCATCCGAAGTGGAAATCGCAAGGATAAGTGCGGGCAAAAACACAAGCCTAAATTCGGAAAACAAAAATCGGGCAAATCGCCCAAGCCGAAATCAAAACTTATATACACAAGATAGGAGGGAGAAAAGATAAAAGAAACAGCAACTCTACGCCCATCAACCCTCAACTCTCTCTCCCTCTCTCTTCTTCTCCGATGCGGACAGTCCGTCGTCGCGCACCAACCCACGAAGCCGTCACCCCTCTTAGTCCTCCCGCACCCGTCGGATTCGCCCGCGCCCACAGTCCGTTGTGGTCCGCGTCAACCCCGCGCGTTTGGCACCAGCTCGTCGGGTCGCCCGACTCTTGCTCTACTCACCTCTTACTTCGCTCATGTGCCGACCCTTCCTGATCGCGCAACCCCGAGCTTCCAACAGCTGGTTAACAGAGTTAACTAATCGCGCAACCGGAATTTATAGCGTGCATGCATGCTCGAAGAACACGGAATTACAAGAACTTAGAAGAAGGGAAGAGGGAGGGATTGCCTACTTCTTCATGGTCTGATCGCAGCGTGGAGTTCGATCATGCAGATCGTGGCTACCAAAAACGCAGCAAAAGAAAGAGAAGAAGGGAGGGAAAAACGAAGCGCAAGAAGAAAGATACAGTTACAATGGCGCCCGCCCAAAATTACAGTTATACACACGATTGAAGGCGCCTACTAATCAGAGTCTTGTTGCAGCCACATGAAGAAGCATGTAGACATAAAGCGTCGTGCGGCAAGGAAAATCCTAATTACGAAATTCCTAAGTTCCTATCTAATGCGGAGAAGCAAAAATACACAAATTCGAGAAAAAGTCCGAAATTCCGAGAGCCATCGGGGCTCGAAAAAATTTGAAAAAGATTTAAAAGAAAAATTCAAAAAGAACGAAGCAAATTCCCGCGCGATGTCCGCGCCCGAAAGTTTGGAACCGAAACAAAAGAAACGATGTCAACATTTATTAATCACGCGTGAGGTGGCGCGCCAGCCATCCGGTCAACCAATCAATCAACCGACCGTCCCAGCACACACTCAGCTCCGAACCCAGCCATTCGAAAAGAAGCGACAAAAAAGACGAAAAAACAAGGACACCGATGCATTTTCCCACCGATCCCGATCTCCCGTAATTGGCCCAACCTTCCCAACTTAGGACCCCTCAACGTAGCTGCGCAGAAAGTCGTGCGTTACAGAAAGTGGTTCGTCACATATGTGATGCCCAGGGGGTTCCAATATTAGCAAGCTCCTGCTTGCTTGTTGACAGGTGTCGATTTGTCTAATCGACCGACACTTGGAGCTCTTCTTTTTATGCCACTTACTGTTCAATTGAGTGTGGACGTCTTCCAGCGTGGCATGCAAGCTCTACTACTATTTCGTCAGGAAGGGCTATTGACAATCCGAGGAGGGGGGAGGGGGGGTCACACCCGTCGTAGACTGACACGTGGCAGCCAACCATGCATCCGTGTAAAAAAAAAGGAGAATGGACCCTCGACGTTCCCGGGGAATGGCAGTCGGATCATCGAGGGTGGAGGTGGCGGATGGTTCAGGGGGAGAGGGGGCATGAATCGATTGATGGTCGGAGAGGCGAAATCAGGAAGGGTAGCGTAGTGGAAGGAGCGATGGATGCGGGGGAAGCGAGGGACCTCATGAAGATGGCGAAAAGCGACGATGTAATCGGGGTAGATGGTAGAAAGGGTCCGTCGCAGGGCGGCGCGAAAATCTTCGTAGTTTTTGCATGCGGGAATAGTTCCAGATATAATACAGTATATTTCTACGAGGTTATATTCTCGCCAGTCTGCGCTAAATAGGAGCACATGAAGGAGAAAGGAATCAACCACAGAACGGGTGGTGGCATGCGGATAAACGGAGACTAGAAGGCGGGTAGCGTAGAGATGGTAGAAAAGGTGATGGGGGAAAGGACACCAACCATCGGGGAACTGGGGTCTATCGGGAAGACAGGTAAGCATGAGGTAGTCACGGGGTCGGCGAGAGAACGACCGGGGACAAAGCCCGAACGTCGAGATCTTGATGTAGACAAATGGAGGACTGGGACGGGGAGCCGGAGGAAGCTGGCGATTCACTTCTTCTTCTTCTTCTCCACGATCCCTCTGTTGCGGTTCCATCGTCTTCTTCTTCTCGTGGCTCCGGATCACGCCACGGATCCCTGATCGATGGATCGACAAGAGAAACGTTTGTCGTGGGTCGCTTTCCCTCCGCGGTCTCCTGGCGCTTCCACTTCCTATGCTCTTCCTCCTCTTCCTCTGCTCCCCCTATCTCCTCGTCCTGCGCCGCGTTTGTCCTCGCGATCGGGTCCCAAAATGTAAGATCGGTAACGTCAATCTCCAAGTAAAGCGCCTGGGAGGGATAGAGACAGTTGTCCTCGTCAATCTCCGTACACGTGGACCACATAAGGTGCGGCTCGAGCGTTCGAGACAGCATGTGGGTGCCTGGCTGCTCGTCACTGCGTGACAAGATGTCTAGGGGCAGATCATCCACCAGCTGAGTCAGAAACACCAGCAACTCGTCCGTGATCAAGGGGAGATTGCCCTCCTCCACCTTCCCGAATACGATTCCCAGCAGATCTCCTTGCTCCGCCGTTCTCCAGGCTTGGATGATCAGAAGCTCCATGTTGTCCTCTGGGTGTTTTGGTCCTTCTCCGAACGGGGCCGCTTCTGACCAGCGGAACTCTATCTCCAATAGACAAAAAGCGAGCTCGATGTAGTCCTCCCACCACGCGTCCCACTTCTCTTCGCTCAATAGCGGCGCACTGTTCCCCTTACTACGGTAGGAGAGAGTAGGGGCCCGTGCAGATCGCCAAAGGGTGGGGATGCTAGAGGGGAGGCCGAAATAGGAGACGCGACGATAACTCATTGGGGTGGCGCGAAGGGACGAAGCTCCAGGAGCACGATCGCCGGCGACCTTTGAGACGAGCGGAGCTGGAAGTCCGTGTCATGCGGCGACACGACGGTATCTCCTCGTCGAGAAAGGAGATCTGTCCACGCTGCTCGCACTTCCCCGGCCTAGGCGCGCAACGTCCAATAGATGTCGGAGTGAATCGCCGGCAGGATCGCTATGATAACCCCTATAAAGACGACGAGGACGACGACGATATGGCTAATCCCGGGGGGGGATAGCCGTCGGAAGGCTGAGATCTCGGCATGAACGCGCGTAGTTGCTTCCTCCGTGAATCGGAACTCTGTCGCCGCGTAGATCGCCGCCATGCTGAAGAAGACAACGAACCGGAGGAGATCAGAGCAAAGATGGGGCCGTTGACCTGTCGTATGACACTGATTCGCCCCCGTGGAGTAAGTAGCCGCACGCCCATCACTTGCTCCGTTGCAAAGCTCATGGCGATGGTGACGGAGTAATAGAGAAATAACATGAAGGAGACGAAGAGACAGGAGATAGGTAGTCGTCGCCCTCTTCCGCAGTGGAGGAGGAATCGGATGCGTGTGAAGATAGGGAAGGAGGAAGGGGACGAGGGTAGGACACGTGGCGGATGATCGGGCGAGCCGATCAGCTGCCGGAGACCTCAGGCGCAAGCCGCACGATATTCAGGTCGTTTGGTCCGAGCTCAATCATGCGAAATCGCCTGAAGAATCGTGGTGCTAGCCTACCCTGGCGAGCACATTTCCTCACCTGCACGATGTCCCCCAATTTGTACAGGGGTCGTGGACCCGCGTTTCCGTTTCGGGCCTCGTAGCTTCGGACCTATCGGCCCTGGGCCATCTCGGTCATTTTCTGGCGTTTTGGGGCTAGCCTGGGAAGGGACCGTTCCATTAATTCTAAGTGTCTTTTGGCCTTTTCCCGAGTCGTGGCCCTGGTGGGTAGTCGGTTCAGCGTGGATTCATCAGGGAGGCTTGGTATTGATACGCAAGCGACGCTATTGGTCCTTAATTGGATGGGGCTTAGCCCCGTCGATTCATGAGGCGTTCCACGATGGACCGTCAGGATGTGATCGACGATATCAGGCCAGGGCCTTGAATCCCATGCCACGATTTTTTATCGCAGCGCTGTCTTTATCACCCTATTCGCGTTTCTTACCAGTCCATTGGATTGTGACATGTGGGCCACAGTATTCCGAATCGCGACGCCGTGTATGACCAGATTCATCACAACCTCTCCTCTGAACAGTGAATTCAGCCTCGTTATCGGTCAGGATCTCTTCTGTATCCTGGTACATCCCGAGAAAACGGTTGACATACGGCGCGATTTCGGCGGCTTGTCACGTGCGACAAGGGTAGGCCTCGATCCATTTCGAAAAGTAATCAACAAAAACCAATAGGACTGAATACTCACAACTATTAGGACCAGGGGGCACCACTATATCGGTAGTATCCACACTTACCCTTTGAAATGATCGTTCAACTACCGTTGGCACTATCGATCTTGGCGGTTGAATCGGCGCTTTATCAGCGGCGCAGACTTGACTGTTGGCGACGATGTACTTCACATCGTCGCAGATATTGGACCAATACCACTGATTTTTGTCAATTGCCGACCTCGTGATTCGTACGGCAAAGTGGGCGGATGTCGCTTCATGTGTCGTCTTTACCCAGTTGTACCTCATGAACGGATGCGGTACAACCATCCAAATCCCACTGCCGTCCGTTTTTCGTTTTTCTAATCTACCCTCTATCCATCTGTATCCCGAGCCCTCTCGTTAGCCCTCCTCCAATCTTCCTTGGTGAAATCCTGGAGGGGGTTACCCACTAAGTTGGCAATCAAGGCGATATCAGTCCATACTTTAGCCCTTCTAAACTTCCGGGTCTTTTCCAATCCTTCTCACGTGGCATCAAAAAACCGATCCTCGGTCGGAATCTTGTCAGTCCGACACAAGGGGCACACCCACGGTTTACTGTCGTTTCTGTATTGAATGCACGAGCCATGGGCTCGTGCGACACACTGTCGACAATCTATCCATTCCGCATACCCTTCCCCGTTAGGACGCATGGAGACCGAGTACACACGGGAGATAGCTTTGCAAAAATAACAAAATTTGTTAGGAAGGGAGAGGAGAGATGAAGAGGAGAGGGGAGAAAGAGGGGTAGTCGGGTTACCTCCATCGCCCATTGCCACTGTTCTGCTTCTTGCCACGTGGGAGAACTGCCACTTGTCCGTACTTAGGCTTGTTTGTCAACTCCGGCTCCTTCCACGGTGTAATTTCCTCGCCCTTTGGTACTTTAGCAGGTCAATGCAGACGTGTCAGTCCGTCCACGTTGTCGTGTCGCTCTGTCTTTCGATGAACGATATCGAAGTCGTATTCTTGTAGTCGCACCGCCCAACGGCCAATCATGCCCGTGTAATTAGTGAGCTTCTTCAACGCCAGCAAAGGTTCGTGATTTGTTACGAGGCGAAACTTCTGTCCGTAGAGATACGGATGGAAGTGTTGGATTCCCCAGACTACTGCATAGCGTTTGCCTTGAGGTGTTGAGTCATTCCTCCGTTCGTCCGGTACTGTGCGCGATGCGTACTCGATGACGTGTTCACGACCATCGTTCCCCTTCTATGCTAGAATAAAGGAGATAGCTTCATGTTGCCACTGTTTTGAGGAGTCTGGCCGAATCAAAATAGGGGCCGTCGCCAGAGCGTCCTTGAGGGTTGCGAAAGCCTGTTGGCACTCCGCGTCCCAGCTGAGAGGTTGGTCCTTTCGTAGCAGGTTCGTTAGTGGTCGTGCAATCGCGGCGAAACCCTTGATGAAGCGGCGATAGTACGATGTCAACCCCAAGAAGGATCGAACCTGCGTCAGCGACGTGGGAACTGGGGCTTCTCTTACCGCCGCAACCTTTCTTGAGTCCGGCCGCAGTTCTCCACGTGTTACGATATAGCCCAAGAACGAAATTTCCGAGAGGAAAAACTCGCTCTTCTCAAGCGCGATTTTGAACCCAGCGTCTCTCAGCGCTCCCAATGTCCACTCGATGTATTGCGCATGCCCGTGATAGGTCTCCGAGTAGACAAGGATATCGTCCATGTACCTGATCACGCAGAAGTTGATCATCCCCTGTGTTAGCCGCGTCTTGTTGACGAAGTTCTGGAATGTCATGTTCATCGCTCGTGGAAACGTGGCAGGCGCGTTGCAAATCCCCATCGGACACCGAACCCACTGCCACGTGCCCTCAAAAAGTACAAAGGCCATCTTGAATCGATCTTCCTCCTTCACTAGAATGTGATGGAAGCCATGCCGAATATCAAACTTGCTGAAATAATTAGCGCAACCAATCGCATCCAACAAATCATCAATTCGGGGGAGGGGATACACATCTTTAATCGCGATTTCATTCAACTTGTGATAATCGATGCATATGCGAATTGATCCATTTTTCTTCGGCACTAGTACTACGGGAAATGACCATGGTCCGGTGGCGGGTTCAATCCACCCTCTGGCTTCGAATTCCCGAATTCGTTCGAGAGCCTTTTTGCGTTCTATAAGGGAGTATCGGTACGACTTGCAGTGGATCGGGGAATGATTCCCCGTCTGTATTTCGTGTTGAATAATTAACGACAGGACAATGTCAGTGTCTATCACGCTAATCGCTCCTTAATATTCCGTCAAAATGTCCGCAATCAATCAATGAATCTCATCGGGTACGTACTGTGGCACGTGTAACTCAAAAAGTTGGTCCCAGATCCGTATGTCTATCTGTTTTGTGCGTGCAGGTTTCGTCACATCGGGTGGGGTTGCAGAAATGAAGGAATGGTCCGATCGCCAAGAGAACACCGTGGCCATCATCTGGACGTCTTCTTCCCGAATGGCCACGTGTCCTTCTGGAGTGATTCCGTCATAGACATCCTGCCATGGTACGGTTTTAGTCGCGATCTTTACTCCAAGTTCGTCATAGTCAGCTTCAGGGCGCCCAGGGGGTTCCAAAGAACTGGCTTCTGCCCCCAAGCGCAACAGTCGCACTTCTTTTGCAGGTGTCAAGAGGGACCTTGGTAGGTCCGTAATGTCGCAGTAATGCTTTTTGTCGCTGTATCTGGCGAGAAGCGGGATGATTCCATCGTACAGGGTTTGAGGGGGTTCCAAAGAATCGACCATCCTCGAAATCTGTACGAGGGGTTCACCTAAAATCATTCCCTTAGTCCTTTGAATGTTTCCACTGGTTAGATGCATCGTTCTTGAGATCGTTCTGGGTGGTGGATAAAAAAACGCGTTGTCGCACTAGCTTCAGGATCTCAAGGTCATTTTCGTCACTACTGTCCGCCTCATTTGTTGACAACTCCCCATCCGCGGATTCTTCCCAGGAGATCATACGGAGAGTCCCTGCCATCATCGGCGAAACCCATGGGACTGCGTTGATGGTAGTACGAAGGGTCAGTCTCATTGGTACAACATAGGGCTTTCCTCCTGTATTTCGGATGATGATTGACCTTCGCTCGAAATCCAGGTTCGCTCGTAATGCCACAAGAGCGGGAAGTCCAAAAAGAACGTCGTAGGTATTTACATCTAGCATGACCTATGTATCCCCCCCGGCGGCGGACAGGCGCGGCCAAGTCCGCGGCCGCGGCCAGTCCGCGAAGCCCTCGGACGTGTCCGCGCGGACGCGCGGATTCGCGGACACGTGGCGGCCGCAGGGGAAAGGGTTTCACAAATCTGGCGGCGCCACGTGGCGGCGCATCCCCTGCCCCACCCCCCCAAACAAAAAAAAAAACGAAAAAGATGAACTTTTGGTGGGGGAGGT